ATGAGGTAAAGATGATGATGGTGATAATAATGATAGTTATGATGAAGAGACGGAGGATGAGAATGGGGATGCTTAGATGATGATGATGGTGGTGTTACCAATGATGATGATGATGATGATGATGAGGAGGATGGTTTAAAGACGAGAAAGTTGATGAGGCAGAGGCGGAGGCGGAGGAGGGTGATGCCGGTGATAAATGGAGAATGATGATGGTATTTAGACCAGTGATGATGAGAGGAAAGATGATGCTATTGATGATTAATGATGATGCTGATAATATTGAAGAGTATAATGAGTAAGTCTTGGTGTTGGTGGCGAATAAAGTGGTGGTGATGGCTAATATATTTTGATGAAGATCGGGGTTTTGATGTTAATGATGATGAAGAGGAAGATAAGAAGAATGAGAAGAATAAAACGAAATTGAAGGTGGGTAAATAAATAGAAAAAATGATGTGGGTTGACCTCGTTATCGCAAAATTGTCTTGTTGTCAGGGCGACTTAGTATAAAGCACCTAATCCGAAGTCGTGTGCCATAGTAGTTGTCATGATTACCAGCATCTGACAGTGGACTTGGTACATTCTCAAACGTTTCACCGGCATCGTAGTCGGCATCATCAGTCAGTTTTGCCATTCTCCGCACCACGCTACCAACTCGTCAAAGAGACAAGTGAAGTCAATGCCTTGACAACCGTTCTGCCGGAAACGGTTACACTATCACTCTTCTTTCTGTCATTGTCTATCTATCTACTCTTTACCCTCTTATCCTACTCCCGCCTTATCACAACTTCTCACTTGTTGGATGAAAGGATAAAGAGTAGATAGATAGACAATGACAGAAAGAGGAGTGATAGTGTAACCGTTTCCGGCAGAACGGTTGTCAAGGGATTGACTTCACTTGCCTCTTTGACGAGTTGGTAGCGTGGTGCGGAGAATGGCAAAACTGACTGATGATGCCGGCGAATCGTTTGAGAATGTACCAAGTTCACTGTCAGATGCTGGGAATCATGACAACTACTATGGCAGACGACTTCG